TTAATGGTAACAACTTTTTTAAATTTTAATTAATCATAAAATGTGTACACAATGGTCAAGAAGTAATTTTAATTTTTGTTCTGTTATTAGATTCTTAACCAATTTTTGTTTGAAAGTGAATTTTATTTTTTAATAATATTTTTGAAATACTATTGTTATATTATCTTGTCGTAGCTAAAGGTTGAATTTTTTAAAGTTTTTTATTTAAATTATGAAATAATCTTGTTAAAACTGAATATATTTTGTTTTTTGTCAAAAATGCTCAAACAGGGAATTTTTTTATAGACAATTTTATATTTAAAGAATTTGCCATTGTATTTTACGCAACTGAAAGATTTTTTAATAACGGTCCTGTTTTACGTTTGAGTCCTGATTTGTCCAGATTTAAGGACTAATACCACTAAGTGTCCAGCTTTTTGATATTTTCATTTACAGCAAAAACAAAGTGTCTTTTAAGTTAAACTTTTCTTTTTGTCATTTCAAATGTTAAAAAACTTAACAAAAAGTAGAAACACAAAACAATAAATTAATTACAAGATTAGTCTCTTAAAAAATTATGGTTATATTTTAATGTTAAGATGTCAAAATTTTGACTTTTATGAAGAAATAAAATCTCAATTTTTTTGTTTTTGAGTTATGCAAATTTTCTTAGTTTTTTCATATGGCAACTCACTATACAGAGTGCTCCAGAACTCGCGCACCAGAGAAAAATGTAAAATAAGACACCAGGAACATGGAAGAAATGTATCTGTCAAAAATTTTTGACATTTGACATTTTTTTTATGTCTGTTTAATGATACTGATGGATCTTGTTTATGTTTTTTAATAATTATACACAAATTTTGCCAATAAAAGCCTCAAATAACATTAAACAGGGTTACAATTTAGGATTTAAACTCTCATAACTTCGAAATTTTTATAAATAGAGTTTTTTTAATTTCCCCCAATTTTTTTCTTCACCACGTTGGTATTTTTCTTTGGGGCTCTGATCCAAGAATTACAACTATCTCATTTAAAAAAAACAACTCAAAACCAAAATAATCTCTCAAAATACAATGAAATTTTTATAGCACTTTGATTTTTATTATGTTATTATGCTTGGTTTCATACTTTTTCTTCACGTTGTGTCCGTTATATGTAAATCATTTTTTCTTAATATCTTTGAGTTTTTATGTAAAAAAGTGTTAATTGTTAAAAAAATAAATATGTTCTAACTTCTTTAGCTTTTGTTTCAAAATTCTTTCTCATTCGTGTTCATTTTGTATTTTTGACAATTTGTTACGTAAAATTGGAAAAACCTGCATTACAAATTGCACTTTTCGTCTCTAATTTTTTTTGGTTTTCAAATTAAATCAAATACCGAAACTGACAACTTTATTAAAATTAAAATTTGACATTTGACATTGACTAATATCTTGAGCAGCAATTTTTTTCTTGACCACGTTCTAGTTTCACATTTATTATTGAGGAAAAAGTTAATTAAACAATATTTTGGTTTAATATTTATGATTAAAAAAAAATCTTAACTAGTTGGAGCAAAACATGAATTTTTACCGGCAATTCCTATCTTATCAAATCTGTTTACAACAAAACTGGATTTATAAATAGAAACCGGTCATTCATTATATAATGAACAACATTATTTGTTTCTTGATATCGTCGAAATGCCAATTAGTTTTTCTACAAAATATTTTCTCTTACTTCAAAATATTATTCCTCACGAATTATTTTTGCATAATTCTAACATCTGGTTCTGTTTACGAAAGAAAAAACAGCTTAAAAAGCACGCTTGAAAGACAAAAAAAAACGGAGAAAATGTTGATTGGACCATTTTATAAATTTTTCAATTTTTGCGTAAAAGTATCAAAAAATTAGTATGTTTACAAAAAATAAAAAAAGAGTAAAAAATCAATAGTAGGAAAATAAAAAAAAATAATTGTTTTTAATAATTTGTTGACAAAAATTTAGGTTTTCAGTGAAAAAATTATTTGTATAACAAGGCACTAAAGATGAATTTGCTTTACGGTAATGGAGAGTAAAAATCAAAAATATACAATTTCTGAAAAAACTAAAAAAAATATAAAAATGTAGATAAATAGGGATTTTTTTTCTATTCAACGGTTTGATGACAAAAAGTTAGTTCCTCTATTAATAGATGAAAAGATAGTTAAAATTATCAAAATTTGCAAGTAAAATCGGAATTTGTGTTGAGATTTTCGAATGTGTATTAATTTAACTAGTGCAGTTAGTAGTGGAAAATATCAAATGCTGAAAGCATCAAAAGAGACAAGATTGTTGTTTTGCATCGTGTCAATATTTTACAAAGTGTTTTGTTCAATAAATTTATTTCACTGTGAAACATTTTTTTTATGGTAACAACTTCATTGTTGCCACAACATTATTTGTTTCTTGATATCGTCGAAATGCCAATTAGTTTTTCTACAAAATATTTTCTCTTACTTCAAAATATTATTCCACACGAATTATTTTTGCATAATTCTAACATCTGGTTCTGTTTACGATAGAAAAAACAGCTTAAAAAGCACACTTGAAAGACATAAAAACGGAGAAAATGTTGATTGGACCATTTTATAAATTTTTCAATTTTTGCGTAAAAGTATCAAAAAATTAGTATGTTTACAAGAAAATAAAAAGAGTAAAAAATCAATAGTAGGAAAATAAAAAGAAAATTGTTGTTTTTAATGATTTTTTGACAAAAATTTAGGTTTTCAGTGAAAAAATTATTATTTGTATAACAAGGCACTAAAGATGAATTTGTTTTTACGGTAATGGAGAGTAAAAATAAAAAATATACAATTTCTGAAAAAACTAAAAAAAATTAAAAATGAAGGTAAATAGGGAATTTTTTTCTATTTGTTTTTACGGTAATGGAGAGTAAAAATAAAAAATATACAATTTCTGAAAAAACTAAAAAAAAATAAAAATGTACGTAAATAGGGATTTTTTTTTCTATTCAACGGTTTGATGACAAAAAGTTAATTCCTCTATTAATAGATGAAAAGATAGTTAAAATTATGAAAATTTGCAAGTAAAATCGGAATTTGTGTTCGAGATTTTCGAATGTGTATTAATTTAACTAGTGCAGTTAGTAGAGGAAAATATCAAATGCTGAAGCATCAAAAGAGACAAGATTGTTGTTTTGCATCGTGTCAATATTTTACAAAGTGTTTTGCTCAATAAATTTATTTCACTGTGAAACAATTTTTTTATGGTAACAACTTCATTGTTGCCACAACATTATTTGTTTCTTGATATCGTCGAAATGCCAATTAGTTTTTTACAAAATATTTTCTCTTACTTCAAAATATTATTCCTCGAATTATTTCTGTTCTGTTTACGAGCGAAAAAACAGCATAAAAAGCACGCTTAAAACTGCATTAACTCTAATTTATGCAAGAAAATCGCTTACTTTGTCTTAAGGCGATCATGACCCATCGAACATCCTCTCGATGCATGAATTTAAACGCCGATAATCCGGACACTTCTTCAGTCATGTAACCTGCAATGAACGAAATTCGTTGATCGCAACCGATAATACGACCATCAATGAGATGTCTCGTTACATATTCTTCTCTCGAAGCTTCGAAAAGTCTTTCACAAAGTGGCTCCGGACGGAAAACTCTGACAAAAAAAAGCAACACCTAGAAAAATCATCTTTATCTCCCTGTTTTAGACTCAACATCCCACATACATCGTTATTTAACGCGATTTCTTTACTAGTCGATGTATTTTTGTTACAGTCCTTGTCGACACCTGGTCGATGTACCCCCATGATTCTCACAGGTTCGTAAACGGCCGATTCTGTACGAGGGCCGGCCCTTTTCAGTCGAATATTGAAGCATTTTTTCCAGTCTCCGTCTAAAACACTCTCCGTATTGATGTACATTCGCAAACGGTCGTGATCATCTGGCGAAGTTATATTGAAAATTGATTGACCCATCAAATCAGTCTAAAAAGAAAAAAAATTAATTGTGTGGTTTTAGAAACTTTTTTCCTGAATGAGCAAGAAAATAAATGCTACACGGTGCGCCGTCGGTTGTAATGCGACGAAAAATTTTAAGGCGATGGAATAAAAGTTTCACTTTAATATTCATTTAGGGTTTTTTCGACGGTACCTACCTGTAAGTGTCCTAATAGATGCTCCACTGTATGGGAAACAAATACAATTTTCCCATTTGGCGTCAAAATTAGCAGAAATCCACCTAACTGCTCACATACCAGTTGTTCTAATAAATATTGATCAACATGTTTCGGCAATTCGATGTGAGGATGGTTCTTTCCACTCAACAATGCTAAAAATTTGACCAAATTAGCAAAATTATCCTCATTTATTGGAAAATACGATAAACTCTCTTCGAGTGGAGTGATAATTTTTTTACATAAATGCAATACTAGGAAAATATCGATTTGTTGATAAAATTCATTATTTCTAATCACAATTTACTTAATAATTCACAATTTCCTTAAAATATTGTTTCTTTATTGCTACCTAACTTTGCAAAAAAAATAACAACTGTATTACACAATGTGTTTGTACTGATGTTTGACTTTATAATTATTAATAATTTGTAACTACACTGGCCGCCAAAATTAAACGGACAACTAAACTTGTTATTCTTTGTCGGATTTCGACGAATTTTTGTTTGTTAAATATGATACTCAAAAGACGAAGGCACTGTTTTTTTACTTATTTTTATAATGAGCTGTGGTGTGCGATAGAGACATTTTTTTTAATTCAAGCATTTCTTTAATCCTGTACATTTGACACTTTTTTAGTCTCCCCAACTGTCTTTTGTAGCACGATGTTTTGAAAACATTTTTTAAATTTAAGCACATCTTTAAGAAATTTTTAAATATTTTTGTAAGTCTAGAAATTTTTTTCACAAGTTTCAATTTACATTTTTTAAATTTGAGCATTTCTATTTGAGAAATTTTTAACGTTTTTTTTTGTTGCAAATTTAGATATTGTTTAAACCGGTATTTCTAGACACTCTCTTAGTCTCCCCCACTGTCTTTTGTAGCACGATGTTTTAAAAAAGTCTCGATTGACATTTTTTTTTAGATTTAAGCATTTCTTTAACAAATTTTTAAATGATTTTTTGGAAGTCTAGAAATTTTTTAATCCAGTACATTTGAAAATTTCTTAGTCTCCCCAACTGTCTTTTGTAGCACGATGTTTTGGAAAAGTCTGGATTGACATTTTTTTAAATTTAAACATTTCTTTAAGAAATTTTTAAATGTTATTTTGCAAGTCTAGAATTTTTTTAATCCAGTACATTTGACTCAAATCCGACAGAATTTGACCACATTGATTCTTTTCTGAATTGTATACCTACCAAATTTTCCATAATTTTAATTCTTGAGATATGTGAGATACAGGCTGTTCCAGTTGAGTTGAAAAAGTCCATTCGTGACCTTTGTTTGAATGATAAAATTAAAAAATATATATATAGGGTTGTTCATAAATATGAAGCAATATTTGAACCTCAAAAATGACGTAAAAATGATGTTAATTTAAATAATAAGTCGTATCCGATCTCTATTGATAAGAATTTTATAACCCTCGGAATGTAGGTATGGATTTTTTTTTTTCTGTAATAACTTTGGAACCATTTGACCAAATATAAAATTTGAAATAGTTACTTGCGAGAACATACCCTTTAGGCTAGTAATTACGAAAACCGGATACATCTACTCAATTTCTGGTTTAGCAGTTGCATGTCACATTTTAAGATGCAAAAATAAAAAATAGGGTATTCCATTTAAATTTTTTAAGTGATTTAACTTTTAACAAACTTCTTAATTTATTAATCTTTACAAATGCAAAACACTAAAAAATTGCTACAACTTTAAATTCTGTACCTTTTTCTTTGCAGAAGAAAAAATTTGTTTTAGCTGTCTTAGTTTTAGTGTAATAAATTTTTAAATAATGCATGTTTTCGTCAAAAAAAAACTAAGCGAAATCGACTAAAAAAAGTTTAGCGTAAAAACATTTTTTTAAAAGGCTACATCCAAAAATGCCAAGAAACATAGTGTTTCATTAAAAAAACACAATTTTGAATCGTAACTTCCTTTTGGGACATGCTGTATGGTTAAAAATAATTTTAGGTATGTCCTATACTATTTTTTAAATTTTACTATTTAAAGGTCACTAATAGACTTTTTCATGTTCTGCAAGGTTCGTTTTTAAGCCGAACAAAAATTCGACAAAGAATAACAAAAATATTGCAAATCGCAAAATTTTAGTTGTCCGGTTATTTAAGGCCAATACAGAGTGATAAAAAATAACTGTAAAAGTTGGTAAAACTGAGAAACTTACTTTGATATATTCGCAAATGTGTGGCTGCGAGTCGAAGAATGCTCGTCTTGTCCATCCTTTTGGCACTTCTTGCGACCATTGGTACCAAAGTTGCCAATTCCCCAATATACGAATTAAGTTTGTCTCTTCGCATCTTTTCCGCCCTGTTTCTCATCTCCCGGCTATTGCTAAAAAACAACAATTTTTTAATTAACATTTTGAAGAGAAATACAGGGTGATTACGGTCTGTATTGTAGTAGTTTGTAGTTTTATCATCATTTGATTTGCTTTTGCCTTAGTTTTTATGAAAATTCGAAAATACTCTGTTTTATCTTTTTCAGCAAAATGGTTTACAATAGGTTTGATTTGTTTTTCTTAATTTTTTTAGTCTTTTTCTACCCTGTATAATGTTATCTGCAATCAAAGCTCTAAGCAAATATTTTTTTAAATATTAATGTAGGCCAAACTTTGAACGTTTTCTCATCACAGGTGATATTATTCCGTTTGAATAAAGAAGAATAAACAAGGCGAAAGGTCATATGAATAATATCTCATTAACACCAAGTATTTGATTACAAAATTGACACATTATTTTCATTGTTAAAAATGTTAAGAAAATGGCTCGATTTATAGCTTTTTGTTTCTTATCGTGAAATAACATTAAAACTGTGTTGTGTAATTATGTAATCAACTCGAATTTCGATTTCGAATATTAAAAGATTAAACTTAAGATGTTTTCGCTTGTACAAGGACTTTTTGATTTGAGAATAGTCTCGTGTTCTTGTATTAATTGCAGATCATTAGAGGCTGCTTCTCTTGATATAATAATAAAATCTATACGCAGCATAATTTTCACATAAATTAGGACATTAGTTCATCAAATAGGACTTGTTTATTCCAATCCCACATAGAAAAGTGGGCAGATAGATTAGGAAAATTAGATTTCGAAAATTTTTAACATCTTTCCTTATTTCTGTTCAATATAAGAAAATAAATAAATAAAAATTGCGTTTTAGACTTCAATTACAAAAAAATACATGTTTCACATAATAATAGTCTGCTACTTGCCGGATATCTACTTTTAATTAAGATAAGATAATCAAATTTAGTAATCAAATGCTACTAAAGTTTTGATAGACATCTGTCTTTCTACAGGTGATCTCAAATAAAAATTTCTAACCCTAAATCAATTTACAAACACTACATAACAAAAAAAGTAAATAAAAACTATTTATATTTTGTTGGCTAACGCAAAAATAATAAATATGGGAGAAAATGTAAATGTGAAAACTAATTATTGCTTAAACTAGGAGCCAAAAGTAATAATGTCGAATATAAATTTAAAAAAATAGGACGTGTTACATTTACTACAGACTTTAGGAAAGAATGTCAACGTAAAATAGTGTTTTGGGATTTTTTAATCCGTCTGCTTTATTTTTAGTCGTTTAAACTGTAACAATATAAATAAAATTATGTAAGCAAATAATCTGGTAAATAAGTCAAACTATGTACTAATGTAGAAGTTATGAAACAGTAAAAAAAGTAAAAACACTACAATTAAATTAAGATAATCCATTTTTTTACACAAATTCGAATGACTTTATTAAAAAATACAGGCTAAACCCGGAACATTAACACTAACAATGATATTTATCTAAAATTTTGTTTATAGCCTAAACAAGATTTTTCAAGATGGTGGCACTTCCTGTTACACCGGAAGAAAGTTATGTTTTTTATCGCGTTTTTGGATTACTCAAGTAATTTTGAAAGAGTTTTCGTTAGCCTTCCCTATACCTAACTTTAACCGTTTTCGAAATATTTAGACCTTTTTAAAAAAAAATTGAATTTGAATCTTCCTATTCAAAAATCGATAATTCTACCATTTTTTATTATGTTGAAACCGTATTTGGGTATACGAGAGAGAAAGATTAGATCTTTCCCTTGGTGTATTCATAATTGAAAAAATAATTAATAAACCGACAAAATGTAAGGTTACGTTTAGGAAACTTCAAATACCCTTAACTCAATTTTTCTAAATGAAACACTCCAATTTTTTCTTCACTAAATAGAGGAGAATTTAGTTTTACTTCGATCTGTATTAACATTCCCTATATCTATGTTTGATAGTTTTTAAGTTATAGTAACTTTTTTTGATGTTGTGAGAAATTCATTAGCTACTTTAGCAAAGGTTGTTAATTTTTATTTACGAAAAGAATAACACAATTGTGAAAAAAAACTTGGCTTTTTTTTAGTGAGAAATATTTCCATGGCAAACTATGCGAAAACCACCATGGATAGTGATTTTCTTCCCTTGTACAAAAAGTTAAAATAACTTGGAAATTATTAAATTTAGGTATAGGGAATGTTGATACAGATCGATGCAGAATTAAATTCTCTTTCATTTACTGAAGAAAAAATTAGAGCCTTCCATATGAAAAAATTCAGTTACGGGTATTTGAAGTTTCCTAAACGTAACCGTAAATTTTGAAGGTTTGTTAATTATTTTTTCAATTATAAATACACGAAAGAAAAGATCTAACCTTTTTTTCATATGCCAAATAAGATTTGAAAATAATAAAAAATGGTAGAGTTATCGATTTTTGGAGAGGAAGATGCAAATTAAAAAATTTCAAAAAAGTCTAAAAATCTCAAAAACGGTTAAATTTAGGTATAGGGAAGTCTAATAAAAACTCTCTCAAAATCACTTGAGTAATTCAAAAACGCAACAAAAAAACATAACTTTCTATTTAAAATAACGCAATAGTGAAAATTCCAAACACATTTTGGTTATTTTTTTGAATTTTTAAAAAATAAAATATCATTTAATAATTTTTATGTCAAAACCTGTTGATATTAAAAGCACTGAATTCAGGATGATAACAATAAAAAAAAACGTTCTTTATATATCCAAAGAAGTTAGAAAAATTTTAAAAAATCAAAAAACAAAAAAAAATGCAAAAATTAAGAAAAAACCAAACATTTAGTAGTAGTATAGTAAAGACTATAAATTCCATTTTAAAAAACTGATTGAAATTTCCTAATGTAAAGTTTTGTCAGGTTACCGAAAGTACAATTTAAAATTTAAATTCAGTATTGCCAACAGATATTTTGTATTTGCAACATTCACAAAAAAGCTATGATGTTGACACTAACAGTACATTTTGTAATACAAAATTCGAGAGGAAAATTACTCATGCTATGTAGGTATAAAGCTACAACAACAAAATACTTGTTGCGCGGGTTATGATAGGAAAGTTACCAAGCATTGTTAAAAAAGTTTTTCTTTTAAAAAAACTAATTCGTTACCAATGTTGTCCTTCAAAGCCAATTGCAATTTGCATCTCATTAGATCATATAATTGCATAGCTACTTAATTATTTATTATTATTAGAAATACTGCAACCCAACGTTGAGTTTTTTTGTTGGTTCTGAATAACAAAAAGTAAACCAGAAATACAGAAGTTTCTAGATTTGGTTCTCCCACATTGTAGACATGAACTCAGATTCATCTTTGACAAAAAGCAATAAAACAAGTGTTTTGTAAATGATGTTGACGGTTTCATATGTAATAGCTGAATTTCAACGTCATGCCAAGGCCAAGCACAGACACGCTACACATCGGTGGAGAGGTCCAGGCAATCCAATGAGCGTTGAGCCAACAACCAAGTTCCGTAATAATGAAGAACCAAGGCTAAATTTTAAGGTTTCAGCGACAACTATATCTTCCGTACTATAACCTCGTAAATGAAAAATTTTGTTTTTTAACCCACACTGTTATTTCAGTGCTAATTATATCACATCGAACTGATGTTAAAACTGGCGATGACAAAGAAAGGTCGTGATAACTTACCTAACATTCAAAACTATTTTTATAAATAGTAATTACCGTCAGCTAATTATTTTAAATACATGTACACCAACTATTGCAATCATGTTTTGCCGGAAACGATGATAACTATTCTCAGATGCAAGGCCAAAAGACTCTCTTCTTTTTTATTAACTATTATTGTTAGTCGAGCTACGAAGCTATTTTTACATTTGATTGTGTCAAAAATTTAAATACGGAAAAACTGCGTTATGGACATGAAATTAATGTGCTAAAAAAATGATCGACAAATTTAAAAGAAAGTGACGAGATTAATTATTCTAGTTATCTTGTTATTAATTAGTTACATTATAAAGTGACGACGATTTGGCTATTAAATCGCGATCAAATGGTACAAATTTTCCACTCCCATACTAAAGTTAGTCATTAGATATTAATATAATAACAAAGTTTCAACAAAAACTGAAACTTTAACAATTACTATTGCATTATGGTATGAACTCTAATACAACAACATTATTATTTCAAAAAAATTAATTATTCTACTATGAACACTAGACTGAAATCCAACAGGTACTTTGATTATTGTTAGAAGCTTCATATGCAAATTATTATTAGATTTTTATTCAAATGCAAGGCAAAATGCAAACGAATTTATTAGAATTTCAGATGCAACTGCGTGTAATTTAACAAATCTAAAGCGAAAACACATTCAAATTGGCGTACTTTTTCAGATGCAGACAATACCTAAATGAAAATATACTTAAAAAAATAAAGAATATACAAATTAATTAATTTTTAATATTTAACGTTAAATATCTTTTTAGTTATTGATTAAAACACCTCAAGGTAATAATTTTAGAAAGACAATTTAGTAATCTTTTAAATGCAAAAACAATAAATTTTTTAAGTTATTGAACTTTTATCAAACGCCTTCATTTTTTTATCTTTGCAACTGCAACACACTAAAAAAAGGTTACAACCTTATAACTTTTACATTCGTCTTTGCGGTAGTAAAAAAAATATTTCTAGATGTCTTAGTTTTTGTGTAATAAATTTTTTAAAAGTGCATATTTTCGTCAAAAAACTAAGCAAAATCGACCAAAAAAAAAAACACTGTCATAAAAATCTACATCTAAAAACGCTAAGAAACATATGGTGTTTCATTTAAAAAAACACAAGTTTGTACTGTAACTTATTTTTGAGACACGCTGTATAGTTGAAAATAATTTTAAGCGGTGAACTAGATTAGTATCTAACAATGTCCAATATATTGTTTTTAATTATACCCTAAAGGTCACTAATGGACTTTTCCAATTCGCTGGGACACCCTGTATGTCTCACCTCATGTGCAAATAACCA